AGGCCACACCCTTTCTATGGAGAAGAAGAGGGATGATATAGTGGTTGGTGGGGGGGCATAGAAGAATTGGATGGAGAGGGAACTGGGATTGATATATAAAATAAGATTGCTTCTAATTTTTTTTTTAAAGTATAACATGAAAAAAGAAATGTAAGGTTTCATAACACAAGTATCCAGGGACAAAGATACATAACAAAGGTTAAAGATAAGTCTATGACTTTATTTTAAAATGTTTTAAGATTTATTTTTGTTATTTTCAATTATGTGTATGCGTTTACCTCTGTCGGTATGTGATATGAGGCAGATGTCTTTAGTAGCAGAGAGGTTAGATCCCTCCTGGATCTGGAGTTATAGGAGGCTATGGGACACCTGAAATGGGTGCAGGGAATCACACTTAGATTCTCAGGAAGAGCATTACGCCCTACTGGTCCATCTCTGCTGGAAAAAAGGTTTTCAAAATTATATTCTATGCACATGTGGAAATGCACATATATGTGTGTGCCACAGCTTACATGTGAAGGAACCATGGGATCAAACTCTGCATTCCCCATGTGGGTATCAGTCATCAAACTCAAGGTTATATCAGACTTGGCAGCAAGTGTCTTTATTCACTGAGCTGTCTCTTGAGAGTGTCATTTTATTCTTAATAAACATAGTGTTCTCAACATAGAATAACAGGCATTCTATGTGATTTCAAATGATTTATGAAATATATTCATGGTTCTTACCTCTGATGGAGGCTGAGTCACTATGTGTTATAAAGAGAATAATAGACATTTATGTAGACATATGTTCCAACTGTATCTGAATCAAAACCTGCTCCATCATAATTTTGGTTAAATTGTTTACTTTAATTACATTTAATCCACTTGTTTTTTCTCTGTTCCATTTGAATGTGAAAACAAAAAAATTACTGATACTCAAAGTTATAGTCTGCTAAGTTCAACTTTCCTCCAATATGGATCTGCTAAGTTATTTTATAAAAGACACCATAAATATCAATAATTTAACAACTTCCTTCAATATTCCTTCTAGCATTGAAGCATTAGTCCTATCTTCCCCTTAGCTAAATAGAGCTGATAAATATTGTAACAATTATGTTTTCTTCTATCTTTTAACTTACTGCTGTTTACTTTCCTCTATCTTTTAAACTTACTGCTGTTCTCTTTGGAGCATCCTGATATTCAACTTTGGATAGCTTCCAAGTTTCTAAACTTCCATGTTGTGAAACTTAATAATGAAATAAAATGCTCTTTATACCTACCCTAGGCACTGTGAAATTATCTCAGAGAGGAAGTGCTCTTGAATAATTAATTTCAACTGTGTTGAACCTATACACATGTTGTTATAAGTCAGTGAGAACCCAAAATGAATACACAGTAGAATTCAATTTGTTTTGCTTCAATTCAAGGACAGTGATCTGGAAAAAGACAGTTCTACTCTTACCTTAACTATAAAACAGAAGTAGACATACCTGAGTGAAGTAATACCCCTGACATTTCTTAAACTAATGTTTAAATATCTGTAAAGTAGGCAGCAGGATAAAGTTCAATATATATGTTCATTCCATGGGCAAATTAAGTATGCCCCACTATCCTACTATGGTGATTTGAATGAAAAATGCACCCCATCGAATAATGCATTTGAACAGTTGGTGGTGCTGTTTGGGGTGATTATGGAACCTGAAGGAGGTGAATGCCTAGTGAAAGTATGTCACTAGGCATGGGCTTTGAGGGTTTATAGCCTTGCCCACTTCCAGTTCACTCTCAGCTTTCTGTGTGTGGTTGGGATGTGATCACTCATATTACTACTCATGCCCCAGTCCCTTGTTCAGGACTTTGGACAGTCATGTAGGACAGGAAGTTATGACCAAAAGGATATAGTTCTGTCTGGATTAAATATTCAGAGAAGACCCTTGGGTTGAGACTTGAGAAAGCAACATTATTCATGATAGCCAGAACCTGGAAACAACCTAGATGCCTCTCAATCAGAGAATGGAGGAAAATGTAGTACATTTATACAATGGAGTACTACTCAGCTGAAAAAAAAAAATGACCTCATGAAATTTGTAGGCAAATAGATGGTCTAGAAATAAACATCCTGAGTGAGGTAACCCAGACTCAGAAAGACAAAGATGGAATGTATTCACTCATGAGTGAATACTAGTTATAAAACAAGGGATAACCAGACTATAATCCAGAGTTGCAGAGAAGCTAGGTAACAAGGAAGACACTAGGAAGGACATACGGATCACAAAGGGAAGGGAAATTAGATGATACCTACTAGGTAAACTGAGGATCGGGGGAGCAGATAAGGGAGAAGGGAGGGGGAATGAGAACCTGAGGAAGCACAATGTCTGAGGTGGGGAAGGATGCAATGGAAGAACAACGGAAGAGACATCTTAATAGAGAAAGCCATATGGGATTAGGGCGAAACCTGGTGCTAGGATAATTCCCAAGGATCTACAAGGATGACCCCAGCTAAAACTCCTAACAATAGCACAGAAAATGCCCAAACAGGCCTACCCCTGTAATCAAATGGGTCAATCTCCCAACTATCATCATAGAGCCTTTATCCAATAATCTATGGAACCAGATGTAGAAACCCACAATGAAGAACAAGGCTGAGCTCCGGGAATCTAGCCTAAGAGAGAGAGGTGGGAATATATGAGCAAAAGAGGTCAAAATCATGATGGAGAAATCTTCAGAGACATCTTAACCAAGCTGATAGAAACTCTTGAACGCTATACTGAATGCCCTGGAGAATCCAGGGAACAGAACTAGGTTTTCCCTATGTGGGAGACAATTTTGAAGCTTAGACTATCTGGGGGGGGGGGCTGGCAGTAGGACCATGATACAAATCTGGTACATGAGCCTGCTTGTTGGAGCCCATTACCTATGATGGGATGCCTTAATGCATGGGAGAGGCGCTATGCCGTACCCCAACCTATTGTGTCAGACGTTGTTGACTTATGGAAGCCATTACCTGTGAGGAGGAATGGACTGGGAGTGGGATTGGGGGGGGGGGTCTTAAGAGCCATCAGGAGGAGGGATAGGAGAATTATGATTGGAATGTAAAATGAAATTTAAAAGAATAAATAAATTATAAAAATATTCATCACTGAATGGGTGAACTAGCTGGGACAATGCTGGAGAACTCACCCTGTTAGTGAAGACAGGGAAGATCTGGTGGGGTGACCAACCCTGAAACTACCCAGGCCCAGAACCAGGGTTACTAGTTGGCCCCCTCTAACATCCACCCCCATTTTTGATCTGCTGCAGCATGTAAAGAGGTTGGTCCTGCACACCCTAAAGCTGAAGGATCTCCATGACAAGGGCAACAACAGAATATCCCAAGAGGAGTACCAGTGAGGACCCAGCATCAACGATGTTGCAGAATTTAGAGGCCTGGAATCAGACCAATGACTCTTTGCAATGAACACTTGCACATAGAGATATGTGGATAAAAATGTTACTGCTACACTACAGCTTCCATGGCAAATGTTTCCCTTTCTTTATTTTTTCTTAAATTTTATTTTATTTTATTGGGAGGGAGTTACAAGGGCAGAGGGTAGATACAAAGGGATAGGAAATAAATGGGATTGAGATACATGATGTGAAAGACAGAAAGAATAAAACGAAAGTTTATTTAAAAAAAAAAAAGAAGACTTGGAGAAAGACTCTCATCCTATCATGCACAAATAGCTAAATAATCTCCCTTAGACAGGAGTCTATGTGACCTTGAACATGTATAAAAGGTTCACAAAAGTGTTCATATTTTTATGAATTACTCATATTATTTAAAAGATGTATATGGATTGGGAAGAGGTGAGCAGAATAAAAATGCAGGAGATGTGACTCAAAAAGTAGGTGAAAGGCAGTCAATGAGAATAAAGGCAGGGTTACATTTACATGTAGAGAAGTCATAGTAACCAGAGCAGAGAAGGGATTCACAGTGTGAAAATGGAACAACAGCAGGGTGAAATTGCAAATAGTCATTGCAGTTCTCCAGGTCCTACAGCTCTGTCACAGTGGGCACTGAGGTCCTGCATCTACGCTGCAAAGGAAAATAGATTCAAGAGCGAAATCCCAGTAAGTTCAACAGGATTTGATCAGGTAAAAGTCAACAAGATGAGGGCTGGTTTGGAAAACCCTGCATTTTTGTCTTTTGCAATTCAGAATAGATGAATATGTCACATACAAGACTACAGGATTATAATTCCTTTGGGGTCCAGACCCAGGACTGTGAATGTTAAATTAAAATGTCTGAGATACAGTGAGGTTGAACCACAGGAGTTAGTTTATCTGTAGGCTGTCAATCTAAAGAAATTTGGATTGGGTGATATATCTGGGGACTCAAAAGGGAGGTGTGGCCAGATGTGTGTACTTGAGAGTCTTTAATAAGATGGGCAACATCAAAAGACTGTGTAGGGTAAAAAGCCAGAAAAACAGGTAGACAACTCTGATAGCATGGATATAGAAGAGGCCAAGGAAGCAAATGTCTAGGGCTGCCAAGGATTGAAAAGAAATTATTTTAATGTCTGTAGAGAGAAACCCAAAAAGAGACTCTGGGAACTCACTACCAAAGACATCAAAGAGCTACAGGAGGACAGATTACTTCCTTCCTCGTGTCTACTCAAACATCCATTGCAGCTAATCCCTCATGAAAAAAGGCCTCCCACCTTACACAGACATACACACACACAAAAAAAAAAATACACACACACACATATATATATATATGTTTGTATAGTGTGTGTGTGTAAAAAATAATCTTTAAAGTAGGAAGCACCTCTCTTTGACAAATAGAAAAGAATATAAAATCAAATCCATAAAATTAATAATGTGGTATCAAATAAGATAGTAAGCCTCTTCCAGAACAACAGGGGGAAAGGCAGAACTTCCAAAACAACAGGGTAAGAGGCAGATCTGGCTGATGTGGCTGATACGGGGACAGAGGGGCTTCTTTAGAACAATCAGGTCAGCTTCACACAAACTCACCTTCCTTCTCTCACCATTGACCCCTCTCCACTGATGAGACTTTTTCATAATGTGACTTAGCTCCTGATTGGAAATTTCCAAATCGTATGGTATGAAGAACTTGGCTTCCTCACTGTGGATTCTCTGAAATGCATCTAATACCCAAGACTCATTGTGCAACCTAAGAAAAGAGGATTTCATGTCTGGGTTAACATTTCCAAAGATTTTTTTTTCTTCCAAAGTCCTGAACAAGTAGTGCCTTTCTTAGTAATATCTATTTATTCAGCTCATTTGTCCCATTACTTGTTTTCAGAAATCATTTGATGATTATATTTCCAGAAATATTTACAAATGTTTTCAGTTATATATTCTACTAAAAAAATACAATCTGGGTATTACTTTCTATAACCTACTGTCTAGTTTGTGATGCCAAACAGACTGAAGAAAATTAAGAAATATTTGGCAATTGATGGCAATTGAATACCCAAATTAGGTAAATATTAGGATTTTCCCTATAGAAAATTAAATTTGAATTCACTCTTCCTCCATACATTTATTATAGAATAACCCTTCTACTCCATTCCACCCCCACTTTCCTCATACCCCATAAACTCCTGACACTGGTATGTAAAATCTACAGGAGTATTTTGAATATTAACTAATTTAGTGTTTAAGAACATCTTCCATTAAATATCCCCAATGACAGAGAAAAGGAAACATGTATACTAGCCCCAATCCACTTGTATTTATTTTATTAAGTTTTATTTGTTAAAACTCAGAGTCAAATTGAAACTCTGAAAGAATATCTGGTTTATTCTTTGCCTTTGTACAGTTTGGGCTCTGCTTATACCCAGAACTAGTTTTAATAGAATTGTGCTGGTAACTACTAGGCTGGACCTAGTGTCAATATGCTAACCCAGGAGAAGTTTGAAAATTAACTGTGGTGTATATTGGACTCTTAAGTTATTTGGCAAGCTTTCCTTTGCATTTGAACCACTTGCAAATATCTGAGATGGTCTCCATCTGCTATAAAAATGAGCTTCTGACTTTATGGTAAACAATGGGTACATCTACAACCCCCATACTTAAGGCTCAGGAACATTATGAAAGAAGGAGCATAAATGTTGTAATAGCCAGAGAACCAGGGTATCTGTTACAAAATCATGTCTTCAATGTATGTTAGTGAAGCTAAATCCACAATATCTAATCAGTACGATTGCCTAAACAAGATCAGCACAATGACAACAGTTCATTTATTAGTGTGAGTAGAGCTACCACACAAGGCTCTATTCTTAAATTAAGAGATACCGGCCATTAAGGGCTGTTGAGAGAGGGAGAATTGGTCTCCTTCAAAGATGACCCACTTACAGTTTATCCAAGCCCAAGTGATCAGCCCTAAACACATGTACATATGAGCATATATGTGTATGTGTGTGTGTATACATAAAATGTGTGTGTAAATGCATACATATATGTGTGTAATTATAATGAAGAGGCTATGAATTTGAGGGAGTGCTCAGAAGGAAGTGGAAGGGGAGAAAGGCAGTGAAGTGATGTAAATACAAAAGTCATGTATGAAATTCTCAAGAAAAATATACTTAGCCATAGTACAGAAGTGCCTTTTGGACATTCCAAGTGGAGAATTGGAAGCATTTGATAAAATGGTCAAATAAATGTCAAAAGTAATTCTAGTTTATGCATTTGAAATATTACTGTATTAAAATACCTCTTTGATATGTACTAAGCGGAACACTCCTCCACTGCTGGTGGGTGTGCACACCTGTACAGCCACTCTGGGAATCAGTATGACAGTTTCTCAGAAAATCAGGAACCAGTCTACCTCAAGACCCAGTGATACCACTCTTGGGCCTATATCCAAAGGATGCACAATCATACCACAAGGACACTTGCTCAACAATGCTCATAGCAGCATTATTTGTAATAGCCAGTATGTGAAGACAACCTAGCTGCACCTCAACCAAAAAAATAATTAAAGAAAATGTGGTACATTTATACAATGGAATATTACTCAGTTGAAAATGAACAATGACATCACAAAATCTGCAGGCAAATGGATGAAACTAAAGGTAACCCAGACTCAGAAAGATAAATCAGTATTACTTACTCATAAGTGGATACTAGATGTAATGCAAAGTATAACCAGACTATAATCCACAACTCCAGAGAAGAAGCTAGGTAATAAGGAGGACCCTCAGAGGGACACATGGATTACCCTTCAAAGGGGAATTAGATGAGATCTCCTGAGTAAACTGGGGGTGACAGGGGGCAATGGTAAAGGGGAGAGGATGGGGAATGAGAAGATGAGGGAATAAGATGGTCAAATTGGGGGAGGGATAGAGTGGCAGAACAGTGAAAGAGATATCTTGATAGAAAGAGACATTATGTGGCTAGAGAAAAACCTGGTGCTAGGGAAACTCCCAGGAATCCACAAGGATGACTCCAGCTAAAACTCCTAACAATAGTGGAGAGAGTTCCTGAACCGGCCTTGCCCTGTACTCAGATTGATAAATACACCAACTGTCATCATAGAGCCTTCACCCAGTAATTGATGGATCCAGATGTAGAGATCCACAACCAACCACCAGGCCAAGCTCTGGAAATCCAGTTGAAGAGACAGAGGAGGAAATACATGAGCAAGCGAGGTCAAGATCACGAAGGGGAAATCTATAGAGACAGCTGAACCAAGCTCGTGGGACCTCATGAACACTATACTGACATTTGTGGAGAGCCCATGGGACAGAACTAGGCCCTCTATATTTGGGAGACAGTTATGAAGCTTGGACTATATGAGGGACTCCTGACAGTAGGACCAGGATCTGTCCATGGTGCATGCGCTAGCTTGTGGGAGCCCATTCCTTATGGTTGGATGCTCAGCCTTAAAGCAGAGGGGAGGGGTTTGTGATGGGAGATGTCATTCTGTATATGTTTCTCATACTGGTTAATAATAAAGCACTGTTGGCCAATAGGAAAGGAAGATAGGAGGGACTAGGAGACAAGGAGGAAATAGGAAGTAGGAAGGAGGAGTCAAGATGGAGAGTCTGAAGAAAGCAGTATGCCGCCGGCTCCCCGGTAAGAGAAAAACATAGATCAGCAAAAATGGGTTAATAATTAAGACAGAGCTAGCCGATAAGAAACTAGTAACTGGCCAACAGTATAATATCTAATACAGAGTCTCAGTGTATTATTTGGGGCTGGCGGCGCAGCAACAGGACAAGACCAGCGGTGGCGGGTGGAAAAAACCATACTCTTACAGGTTTGGTCCCGGGAACCCTTGCCCTTTGGGAGGAGTGGACTGGGGGTGACTTGGGGGAAGGGTAGTGGGAGGGGGAATGTAGTTGAAATGTAAAATAAAATAAAATACCTCTTTAACTCTTAACTTGGCATTTTAGATTATATATATTCTCAGTTAAATTTATTTTATATTTTGAGATTAACACGTTGGTTGTTCAAGAGGGCAGGCTTGCTTACTTGCTGAATAAGACTAAACAAGCAAAAATAAGAAAAATACAATTTAAAAGAAGAACTAAATCCAAAGTTTCTTTTATTCTATTATGTTGACTCATGGTATAGCACATATTTCCAGGTGAAGTGGTGACATGCCTTTAATCCCAGCATTCAGCAGGCAAAAGTAGGTAGATCTCTGTGAGTTCAAACCAGCCTTATTTACAAAACAAGTTCGAGGGCAGTTGTGTTAGAAAATAAGACCCTGTCTCAGACACACACAACTCAAAGCTTCATTTAACTGCCTCTAATTTGATTCTTTATAATATAGTAGCAAAGAATTTTTTAACCTGAATCTGAATAAAATCTGTGAGTCGGATTATTTTCCAATGATCTTGAATTCATCACAGGGCTGGTTATGTAGCCTGTGAGACTGTATTATTACATAGGCTGGGAATGAAACCTAAGGTTTTGCATAAGTAGCATAGAGACTCTTCCATCTTAGAGCTGCATCACCAACCAGCCTGACCATGTTGGAATGGTTCCACTGTTGTGTTGTGCTTTGAGATTCTGGCCCAGCCATCTGAATGACTTGCTGGTTGGCTTATTGAACAAGAATTACCCTTGACCACTCTTTTCTGCTTGTTCACTGTAAGGTACATTTTTCTGTTTCCATGGTGATTTCATACAGTCAAATTACTGTCAATTTGGTGTTGTAAACAATTTCTATATGAAGATTTTTAAGCGCAGGATTATCAACAATGCAATTAACTTTGAATTAATTAGGACTCACAGTCCTGTTTCTGCTGGCTTCTGTTTCTTTTGCCCAGAAAATGTCTGTCTTCTTTTTATTTCTCTTTTATTCCATGTGAAAGAATAATTATGTAAACATCTAAGCTTGGATCTGCAGGACAGTTAACAAATGTTTTGACAGGGAACAAAATGGCACATTGGAATATGGAAATCTGTGCAAAGATTAATTGCATTTTAGTCGTATTTAATTTTTTTCTTGCCATTTTGGGTGGCATTTTCCAATGTAAAGCTCCATGATGTGTTGTTAATGAGTCAATTTACAAACCTTTATTAGTTTTTGGCATATTTTACAGCTCTATAAAGCCAGTTTACAGAAGCAAGGAAAAACGCTTAGTGATTATATATGTAAATAAAAATAAATAAATAGAAAACTCATGGTTATATAATTTTTGATTATATAATTAGTTGAATGATATAACACATATCCAAACAGGATTTTATTTGTTGTGGATAGAAGGACATTTTATCCTTTCATGCATTTTTCTGAGTCTCCATTTTTTCAGGTTCTCCTCAGAAGACTGAGGATCCTCATGATAAGCTAGGTGAATTTCAAAACGAAAAACAAGCAGACAATCAATGCAAAGTGGTTGGAGCTTTGTTTTTAAATTGTGTATTGGTGAAATTTGACTAACAACAACCACAACAAAAAGCTATTGTGTGTGCCCCCATATTAGAGGCGCATATGTGCCAGTCAAGTTGAATGATGTCTGATGAAAGATACTGTCTCCCATTGAGCAAGAAATGGATAAAGCAAAAGCAACTGTGGAAGCACTAACTAATGAACCTGAAAGGGATATTTAATTTTTGTAGGATTTTTTTTTTTTGTGATTTGAGATTTTTAAGAGGGAGCTAATATTTTCTGACATTAAAAATATTACAGCATTATATGGTGATCACTGCCAACAT